CTCTTCTCTCTCTCTCCTTGTCTCTCCTCCCCGCCACACACACACACACACACACACACACACACACACACACACACACACACAAACTCTAATGCCTCCCTAGTCTCCAAGAAGCATATGAACTTTCCAAGAGTGCAAGATGGAGACTGATAGAAGAAAACTGGCGGCTAGAAAGAACAAGCAGTGGGCTGTCCCCCATCTGTGGGAGACAGGATCCCATCGTCCTTCTCCTGGCAGGTGCAATGGGAGACTTGAGACCCATCAACAAGCAGGAATGAACGTCCCTTTGGAGAGTTCAGAAGAAAGGTCACCTTCATGAATAATTCAAGGGGCTGGGGGCATAGCTAGGAGGCATAGCACTTGCCTAGCGTGCTTAAGGGCCTGGCTTCAATCCCCAGCACAGTGACAACAAAAAGGATTCCAAAAGATTTGGAGGAGCCATGGGCAGAAATGTTATATTTCAGAATTTTACATAAAGGACCTTGAAGGAAAACCAGAGGCCTTGGGTTTTCTCATGGAAACAAACTGAAAGCGGCAGACAACAGTGCTCATTGCTGCCACATCTGCCCATACTCTTCATGCGTAGGCCCCATACATGCTCCAATACAGGTGCAGTGAGGTGACAGCCTACACTCCAAGCTCCTCTGTGCTTTATGAACTCAGAACCTATTTAATACCCTCAGCAACCCCATGAAGTTGTTACAAAAGAAGAAACGCGGCAAAATCTCTGAGTTTGGAAGTGGCAGCTTGGAAGTTCTAACAAAAATGGCCTGATTTAGGGGCTGGAGGGCTGACTCAGCAATTAAGAGCACTGGCTCTTGCAGGGAACCCAAGTTCGGTTCCTAGCACTCACATGGTGGCTCACGACTGTCTGTAACTCCACTTTCAAGAGATCCAACGTCCTCTTCTGGCCTCCACAGGCATTGTGCGCATGAGTGCCCTTATATACACTCATACACATAAAATAAAAATAAATAAAAATTTAAAAAATTTTTAGTGCCCTGACTTGAAAGCTCTTGTTCTTACTCTACACAGGAAGTAGAGGGACACCCAAGATCACCCATGCTCAGAAGACATCATACATTCAAGTTAAGCATGTTAGGAATTGAGGCTTAGGGACAAAGATGACTAGCTTAAGCTCACTTAGCAAATGAGAGAACTAGGACTCAATTAGCTGGGTCTCTAAAACTGTGTAAACCACTGCTTAGCCCCTCCTGTTCCCTATGACCAGTCAGCCGAGCACCTCTAAGGCCCCCTCAGACAGTGCCACGTTAGAGTTGAGCTCTCCGGTTTGGGCACAAAACCATACCTTCCCAGAATCCCAGAACCAGCTCAAGGCCCTGGCAGATAAAGAATTGGGATGAGGGTTATTGGCCTACCATAGAATGATGGAAGGGTAGGGTCTAGAGCAGTTTCTGCTCTGATGACTGTGGCCATGGAAAAACCACTTTCACAGGCTGTCTCAAAGCCCCAGGGCTCAGAGAGTAGCCAGTCTTGGCACCTAGCCCATGCTGAGCCCAGGGTACTGAGGGCTCAGGACTTAAATCTCCTATCAGGCCCTGCCTGCCTTCAACACCATTTTCTTTACTGTTAGACCTGGTGTTTAAAGCCAGCAATCCTCCAGGCACAGTCTTAAAAGAGCACCTTCCCACAGGGCCTTCATCAGATGGGGTGTGGGAAAGCAGGGAGGGGCTTGACCTGGAGAGAGAGGATTATCTCTGCCTACAGCAGTTTCCACCACCTAGCTGTTGCTGGGAAAGCTTCCCCTTCCCCAATACTGGCTCAGCATCTCAACTGCTGGCAGCTCTCCTGCGCCTCAGTTTATCTTTTCAGAGAGTAGAAAAGATGGTGTTTGCACAAGGTCACATAGCTAAGAAGCAGTAGAGACAAGATCTGAATCCTGGGAGCCTGGATCCTGGGTCAACCTCAAGAGCCACTCCATTCTCTACACAGTGCAAAGCAATAGAGGGACCACCAAAATCCACCAGGCACCTTGGCAAGGAAATCAAGATTTCCTCCATATGAGCTTGGGGAGAAAGACAGGACAGTGCTAAATTATCCTAGGGTGCTGAGCAGGTGGGAATGGGTGAACGTTACAGCCTGAGGAATCAAAGTTTGCTTCAGACAGGCAGGGAGGGGGATGGAGGAGGTGTGACCTTGTGCCCCACCCATCTCATAGGCAGGCAGCATGGTGCCTGACTCCAGGGAAAGAGTGAAGATAAAGATAAAGAAGTTATCACTCCCTAAAAGCTTCTTCAGGAATTTCAGCTTGGGTGTTGCTCTGACGACTAGGAACCCATGAAATAATAATTCCCACTTTTTGGCCTCAGTTATCCAAGCTCCATGCTGGCTTTACTTCCTCACATCCCAAAGCCCTTAAAGGGGTTTTACTCTCGGAAATCACTGGACAAGGGAGGCCAGAGGGTACCAATCAGTCCAGTTCGCTGCCAAGGGTATTGGTGTGTGTGTGTCCCAGGGTCTCTGGGCCTGACAGCTGGTTCTCAGCCCCTCCTCCCACCTGGGCAGAAGTGTAGGCAGAGACCCCTTGGGCTAGGACCAGTTAAGATGACTCACCACAAAGGGTGTGGGAGATTCTGGGCAGAACATCCAGAGGCACCTTCCCCCAATTCACACAGGAGCTTCTGAGGACACTGCCCAAATTCCCAACTGGCAATGGGGTGAGCACTAGGGCTCCTCCCAACTGCCACAGCGGAGGCTGGGAATGTAGCTCAATTGGTGTAGGGTGCTTGCCTGCATGTAGAAAACCCAGGGACATGATAGCACAAGCCTGTAATCCCAGCACTCTGGAGGTGGAGGCAGGAGGATCAAGGTCATCCTTGACTAGTTACAGAGCTAGTTCAAGGCTAGCCTGGAATACATGAGCTCTATCCTCTCTCAAGAAACATACAAACAACAAACAAAACAATCAACCAACTGTCATAGTAGAGTGGGGTTCAAAGAAGCCTTCCAAGGGTCAGAAGCTGGGGGCGGTGGGGAGGGGGGTGCTGAATAGTTTCTTCACCCGTTGGCGCAGATCCCCTAGTAGAGAACTGGGGAGGGGAAATCTCCAAGCCCACTTAACAAATATGTCAGTGCCATCTGAAAGCCTGAGGTCTGGGTTCATTTCCGGCTCCACATGAGAACAAAAATCTTCCCTCTCCAATACACTACTCCAGGGATCCAGTCCAGTGGTTCTTGGCCCCTCCCCATCCCAATCTTCAGGGTTCCCAGGCGGCTTCCCCACGTCCCATCCCCCACGCATTGAGCCCCTTTGCACGTGCCAAGGGTTACTGTCCCATAAAACGCACACTCGGAAAACGGAGAGGTAAGAGGGCTCCCTCCGCCAGCCAGGGCAGGCCAACCAGAGACAGTGGGAGAACCGGGAGAGGAAGAGGATGGAAGGGAAGCGGGCGGGGGAGGAGGCAAAGGCTGCAGGAAGGCCTGAGATGCAGGAAGCAGCTGGGAGTTGGGGTGGGGGGGGAGGCTTTGTGCCTGAGTTGTTCCCTGGGTCCTAGTGTCCATTCTGTTCAGTAGTTCCTGAGATCTGCCAACTGGAGGAATACCTCTAGACCTAGAAGGTGGATCCTCACCCCCAAGGCCCAGGCAGCTAGGGAGAAATAAAAAACCCCAGGCCCCCTGTGCATGTGAGGAAGCGGGGATGCTCCAAGTTTTCAAGACAGAGGCACACACACACACACACACACACACACACACACACACACATACACAAACGCTCGCGCGCACGCACACTTGCACATTGTGGCCAGAATCCTTTAAATCAGAGACCCAAGTTAGAACTCTCAATGAGGAAACTTTGTCCGTAGGCCTCTAGAAATATTCCTTCCAAACCCCATCTTCCTGTTTCAGAGAAAGGAGTTCCCTGGCAGGTGATGAAGACCAGGATTCGACCCGCTTTCTACCCAGGAAAAAAAAGAGTGGGCAGGTAACAGAACACCTAGCTTCAAAGGCAGTTTTGGTAACTCCTGCCAATTTGGATGATGGAAGTCAATCTCTCTCTCTCTCTCTCTCTCTCTCTCTCTCTCTCTCTCTCTCCCAGTTCTTCATTCTTCCTCCTCCACCTCCAGCGCTGCAAGGAGTGGTGGGCCGTGGTTTTACATCGTGGAAGGAGCAAAGGTTCGCTAAGGTAGCTAAAATGCAGACTCCCGGGTCCGGCCTCTTAGATTCTCTTCTCAAAGTTTGTACCGGGCTCGAAATCTGTACTTTGACCAAGAATTTTGATGCTGACAGCCCCGAAGCTGTCTTTAGAAGACCTTTAAGGAGTCTTTAGAAGACCTTTAAGGAAATGATTCTCCGCCCCTCCCCACAGAACCCCCTCCACTTTGGGAGAGGGGAAGGGCAGCCCTGAGCCTGAGGTGGCTGTAGGGCTTGCCCTCAGGGTTAAATGAGAGTGCGCCTGTGTGGGCAGTGAAAAGCCGCAGAGGTTGGGACCGAAGAGTTGAAGAATAGCCAAGGTCCAGGGAGCAGTGGAAGGCTCTCCGCCAACTATGGACTGGAGAGGAGAGACGAAGTGGAAGGGAAGGGGAGGGCTCATAGGCTGCGGCCCCGGAAATCCGATCCCTTTAGGACCCAGAGGTGCCAGTCCCCCAGCGGCGGCGGCGAGAAGGGCAGCCTCTTGGTCTCCGGCAGCAGGAGCTCCGGTAGAGCCAGAGAAAGAGCGAGGCTCGGGGCGCGGGGGGGGAGGGAGGGGGGGGGGCGCGGCGGAGCGGCCCGGGCCGGCCGAGCAGCCACGGGCGCGGGGATGCCGGGCGCCGGGAGAGCCGAGGTCCCCGGCTGGAGTTGGGGGCGCCCGCGCAGCCAGCCCCGCTGACACCGCCTCGGACGATGTGAGCCGGCGCCGCCGCCTCTGCTTAGCGGGCTGGGCGCGCGGTCCCAGCGGCCCCGGCCGGCCTCTGCTTTTCTAATTTGGGTGGGGGCGACCGCACCAGGCCGCCCGGGCTTGCGAAGGGGGAGCTGGCTGCCTTCGACAGCTTGATTGGGGGAGGCGACCCACACAGGGCGCTCGGAGATTCCCCCCCCCCTTTTTTTTTTTTTAAACAAGGTTAACTGTTTTTTGGCAGCTTGATTTCTGGGAGACCCTAAAGAAGGCCTTTCGGGATTTCTTTCTTCGGGGGAGGGGGCGGTGGTCCTGACTTGGCCAGCCGCCTGCTGGAGGGGGGCAGCGGGGAGCTGGGGGATGCGAACCCGGCTCCCCCCACCATGATGAAGACGGAGCCTCGGGGGCCCGGGGGGCCCCTCCGGAGCGCCTCCCCGCACCGCAGCGCCTATGAAGCGGGCATCCAGGCGCTGAAGCCGCCTGACGCGCCCGGGCCCGACGAGGCACCCAAGGCGGCCCACCACAAGAAATATGGCTCCAACGTCCACCGCATCAAAAGTATGTTCCTGCAGATGGGCACCACCGCGGGGCCGCCGGGCGAGGCGGGGGGCGGGGGGGGCCAGGGCCGGGCCCCGCGGGGGGGCCCGCGCGGCGGGCGGCCGGCCCCCCCGCGGGGCCGCCGGGCGAGGCGGGGGGCGGGGGGGGCCAGGGCCGGGCCCCGCGGGGGGGCCCGCGCGGCGGGCGGCCGGCCCCCCCGCGGGGCCGCCGGGCGAGGCGGGGGGCGGGGGGGGCCAGGGCCGGGCCCCGCGGGGGGGCCCGCGCGGCGGGCGGCCGGCCCCCCCGCGGGGCCGCCGGGCGAGGCGGGGGGCGGGGGGGGCCAGGGCCGGGCCCCGCGGGGGGGCCCGCGCGGCGGGCGGCCGGCCCCCCCGCGGGGCCGCCGGGCGAGGCGGGGGGCGGGGGGGGCCAGGGCCGGGCCCCGCGGGGGGGCCCGCGCGGCGGGCGGCCGGCCCCCCCGCGGGGCCGCCGGGCGAGGCGGGGGGCGGGGGGGGCCAGGGCCGGGCCCCGCGGGGGGGCCCGCGCGGCGGGCGGCCGGCCCCCCCGCGGGGCCGCCGGGCGAGGCGGGGGGCGGGGGGGGCCAGGGCCGGGCCCCGCGGGGGGGCCCGCGCGGCGGGCGGCCGGCCCCCCCGCGGGGCCGCCGGGCGAGGCGGGGGGCGGGGGGGGCCAGGGCCGGGCCCCGCGGGGGGGCCCGCGCGGCGGGCGGCCGGCCCCCCCGCGGGGCCGCCGGGCGAGGCGGGGGGCGGGGGGGGCCAGGGCCGGGCCCCGCGGGGGGGCCCGCGCGGCGGGCGGCCGGCCCCCCCGCGGGGCCGCCGGGCGAGGCGGGGGGCGGGGGGGGCCAGGGCCGGGCCCCGCGGGGGGGCCCGCGCGGCGGGCGGCCGGCCCCCCCGCGGGGCCGCCGGGCGAGGCGGGGGGCGGGGGGGGCCAGGGCCGGGCCCCGCGGGGGGGCCCGCGCGGCGGGCGGCCGGCCCCCCCGCGGGGCCGCCGGGCGAGGCGGGGGGCGGGGGGGGCCAGGGCCGGGCCCCGCGGGGGGGCCCGCGCGGCGGGCGGCCGGCCCCCCCGCGGGGCCGCCGGGCGAGGCGGGGGGCGGGGGGGGCCAGGGCCGGGCCCCGCGGGGGGGCCCGCGCGGCGGGCGGCCGGCCCCCCCGCGGGGCCGCCGGGCGAGGCGGGGGGCGGGGGGGGCCAGGGCCGGGCCCCGCGGGGGGGCCCGCGCGGCGGGCGGCCGGCCCCCCCGCGGGGCCGCCGGGCGAGGCGGGGGGCGGGGGGGGCCAGGGCCGGGCCCCGCGGGGGGGCCCGCGCGGCGGGCGGCCGGCCCCCCCGCGGGGCCGCCGGGCGAGGCGGGGGGCGGGGGGGGCCAGGGCCGGGCCCCGCGGGGGGGCCCGCGCGGCGGGCGGCCGGCCCCCCCGCGGGGCCGCCGGGCGAGGCGGGGGGCGGGGGGGGCCAGGGCCGGGCCCCGCGGGGGGGCCCGCGCGGCGGGCGGCCGGCCCCCCCGCGGGGCCGCCGGGCGAGGCGGGGGGCGGGGGGGGCCAGGGCCGGGCCCCGCGGGGGGGCCCGCGCGGCGGGCGGCCGGCCCCCCCGCGGGGCCGCCGGGCGAGGCGGGGGGCGGGGGGGGCCAGGGCCGGGCCCCGCGGGGGGGCCCGCGCGGCGGGCGGCCGGCCCCCCCGCGGGGCCGCCGGGCGAGGCGGGGGGCGGGGGGGGCCAGGGCCGGGCCCCGCGGGGGGGCCCGCGCGGCGGGCGGCCGGCCCCCCCGCGGGGCCGCCGGGCGAGGCGGGGGGCGGGGGGGGCCAGGGCCGGGCCCCGCGGGGGGGCCCGCGCGGCGGGCGGCCGGCCCCCCCGCGGGGCCGCCGGGCGAGGCGGGGGGCGGGGGGGGCCAGGGCCGGGCCCCGCGGGGGGGCCCGCGCGGCGGGCGGCCGGCCCCCCCGCGGGGCCGCCGGGCGAGGCGGGGGGCGGGGGGGGCCAGGGCCGGGCCCCGCGGGGGGGCCCGCGCGGCGGGCGGCCGGCCCCCCCGCGGGGCCGCCGGGCGAGGCGGGGGGCGGGGGGGGCCAGGGCCGGGCCCCGCGGGGGGGCCCGCGCGGCGGGCGGCCGGCCCCCCCGCGGGGCCGCCGGGCGAGGCGGGGGGCGGGGGGGGCCAGGGCCGGGCCCCGCGGGGGGGCCCGCGCGGCGGGCGGCCGGCCCCCCCGCGGGGCCGCCGGGCGAGGCGGGGGGCGGGGGGGGCCAGGGCCGGGCCCCGCGGGGGGGCCCGCGCGGCGGGCGGCCGGCCCCCCCGCGGGGCCGCCGGGCGAGGCGGGGGGCGGGGGGGGCCAGGGCCGGGCCCCGCGGGGGGGCCCGCGCGGCGGGCGGCCGGCCCCCCCGCGGGGCCGCCGGGCGAGGCGGGGGGCGGGGGGGGCCAGGGCCGGGCCCCGCGGGGGGGCCCGCGCGGCGGGCGGCCGGCCCCCCCGCGGGGCCGCCGGGCGAGGCGGGGGGCGGGGGGGGCCAGGGCCGGGCCCCGCGGGGGGGCCCGCGCGGCGGGCGGCCGGCCCCCCCGCGGGGCCGCCGGGCGAGGCGGGGGGCGGGGGGGGCCAGGGCCGGGCCCCGCGGGGGGGCCCGCGCGGCGGGCGGCCGGCCCCCCCGCGGGGCCGCCGGGCGAGGCGGGCGGCGGCGGGGCCATGGCCGAGGCCCCGCGGGCGTCCGAGCGCGGCGTGCGCCTGTCCCTGCCGCGGGCCAGCAGCCTGAACGAGAACGTGGACCACAGCGCCCTGCTCAAGCTGGGCACCAGCGTGTCGGAGCGCGTGAGCCGTTTCGACTCCAAGCCCGCGCCCTCGGCGCAGCCCGCACCGCCGCCGCACCCGCCGTCCCGGCTGCAGGAGACGCGGAAGCTGTTCGAACGGAGCGTCCCCGCGGCCTCGGGGGGCGACAAGGAAGCCGCGGCGCGGCGGCTGCTGAGGCAGGAGCGCGCTGGCCTGCAGGACCGGAAGCTGGACGTCGTGGTGCGCTTCAACGGCAGCACCGAAGCGCTGGACAAACTGGATGCTGACGCCGTGTCGCCGACCGTCAGCCAGCTCAGTGCGGTCTTCGAAAAAGCCGACTCGAGGACCGGCCTCCATCGGGGACCTGGTCCCGCCCGGGCCGCGGGGGCGCCCCAGGTCAACTCCAAGCTAGTCAGTAAGCGGTCCCGGGTGTTCCAGCAGCCGCCGCCGCCGCCCACCTCGTCCGCGGATGCCCCGAACGAGAAGGAGCGTGGCCCTGGAGGGCAGCAGCCCCCGCAGCACCGAGTGGCTCCTGCCAGGCCGCCCCCCAAGCCCCGGGAGGTGCGCAAGATCAAGCCGGTGGAGGTGGAGGAGAGCGGGGAGTCCGAGGCCGAGTCGGTCGCTGGGGAAGTGATCCAGGCGGAGGTGATGGTTCATGCAGCCTTGGAGAACGGCAGCAGCTCGACCACCGCAGCCAGCCCCGCACCCGAGGAGCCCAAAGCCGAAGCGGTCCCCGAGGAGGAGGAGGCGGCGACGACAGTGGCGACGCCGGAGAGGGGGGTGGACAATGGCCGGGCCCCGGACGTGGCCCCTGAGGAGGTGGATGAGTCCAAGAAGGAGGACTTCTCGGAAGCGGACTTGGTGGACGTGAGCGCCTACAGTGGGCTCGGGGAGGACTCAGGGGGAAGTGCCCTGGAAGAGGACGATGAGGAAGATGAAGAGGACGGGGAGCCCCCCTATGAGCCAGAGTCTGGGTGTGTGGAGATTCCCGGGCTCTCCGAGGAAGAGGACCCGGCCCCGAGCCGGAAGATCCATTTCAGCACTGCACCTATCCAAGTGAGTGAGCCCCCTGTGCCGCCCTGCCTCGTGCATGTGGTCGCCCCCACCCCAACATCCGTGTTTGGCAGGCTGAGCCAGCCCCTGCCTACCCAGCCCCCTTCTCTGAAGTTCCCACCCTGAGGGGGGCGTGGGGGACTTCCAGCTGTTTGTCAGAGTGAGATGGTTTTCAGGTCTGGGACTGGGGAGGTGGCCTGCCAAGACCTGCCCTTGGGTTCCTTGCCTGCTGCCCCACCCAGCACCCTGCCCTGTCCCACGCCTATCCTGGGACACCTGCTCTCTTCCTCCCCCGGCATTCCTTCCTGCAGAGGCTGCCAGAGGCTGGGGCTTGGCCTTGGCCGGCCTTGAAGGAGTGTATGCATCCTCAGGATATGTCCCCACATCTGCCCTACTGTCTGGGAGAGAGAGAGAAATGGGGAGCTTGGAACACTTCCTGCTTTTTGCTGTACTGTCTCGCTCTGTGTGGGGTGAGAGAGAAGGGAGCCAGGAACTTCCCAAACAAAGACACAGGGAGTCCCTTCTTCCTTGTCAGTACCCCTGCTCCAACTTTGCAGAAGTGAAAAAAGGAAGCAGGTTGTGAGGGGGAGCTGGGCCATGGTCATGTGACTGGGGCCAGGGGAAAGGCCCAGCACCCCAGGGTCTGTGCTGGACCTGATCCTGGTGTGGGTCTGTCCCATGCCCTTCCACTCCCCACATGGAGAGGGGACTTGAGAGGTAGGCCTTCAGTAGGACCCAGAACTGGGTGGTGGAGCTAAGAGATTCCCCCAAGGTGCCTTGCAGAAACACAAGACTAAAGCCTTGGGAAGTCCCATGCTCTTCCCCACATCCTCTGGGTACCTTGAAAGAGGGTGGGGGCTTGCTCCTTTTTGGGGATCTCAGCCGCCTCATCTCCAACATCACTATTGGTGATTGGTTTGTGGGCTGTGCCAGTAGTCAGTGCTTTGAGATCTTCTCAACAGTGGTGGTGGGGAAAGGAGGCCACCCTGACTCCCAACCATCCTCCACCCTCAGCTGGTACATCCAGCTTTATTGGTCATTTCTCTCCCACCCTAGACTCTACTGTGCCCAGCCCCTGGCCTGCCCCTTGGATTTATGCAACAACAGGGACTTGGCCTAGACCCTGCCCAGCCTTGCCCTCCCCAGCCAAACCCTATGTGTTTGCTTGCAGTTTCCATGACTACTCCTAGACACTGAAGCTACCCAAGTTTCTCTCACCCTCTGGCCTCTCCCACTTCCCAGAGGGGCCTAAAAGATGAAGGGTGGCTGCCCTACTAGCCCAGCCCCCTCCTTGCCTGGGACCTGGAAGCCTTCTCCATCCCCTTTTTCCTCAGAAGGCAGTGGGATCTCCAAAGAAAAGGAGGCTGTGGTGTTCCTGGGAGGATGTCAGGGGTCCTTGATACACTCACAAGCTCTCTTGAGTAGTCCCATGCTTCAGGGAGGGAGTGTGGTCTGGGCCTCTGTCTTTATCTTATCCTGATTTTTTTGGTAAAAAATAGCACATGATTTGGAGCAGTGCTCCGGACTCCCTGGTGACTGACTCTGAAGCTGGCTGCCTGCATGAGAGCCAAGGCTGTGGGGAGGCTCTGAATATCTGACTTTTGGCCTTGCTGGGGCTTTCCTCCTCCCCACCCTGGCTCAGGGCCCTGGGCTTCTCCCTGCCCCACTGCTGCATTGGTTCAGAATCCAGGATTCTCTGCCCCTCCATGACCTAATTATCGGCACTTATGGAGGTAGAGGTGTCGGCTAAGGGTGAAGAACCCAGTTCCAGACTGTCAACCCAGGAGGTAGGGCTGAGCCCAAGTTCTGATAGGAAGAAAGACAAGGAGTCTGAGGCCTTCGGGGCCTGAGGCCTGGGATCCTACAAGGTAGGATGGGAAAGGTGAACAGGAAAGACAGAGTCCAGATCAGGCCTCCAGGGTGTTTTGGAGGTCATAATGGAGTATGAGTGGTTAGAAGAGAGGGGTTGATTAGCTAGGAGAGGGATGAGTGACTGTCTTCTAGGCACAGAGTAAGGATAGACACCTCAGATGAAGAAGGGGGCCACGGCCACTTTGCTGATCCTGACTTAAGCCAACCCTTGTCCCAAGGCTTGGGACACCTTTGTAGTGGGGACAAAGTCATTGGTAACTACCCACTATAGCCCAGCTAAGTTTGGTGCCATCCTGACCTGCCACTGGCTAACCAACTCTTTGTGACCTTTAGCAGTGGATTGATTATATGTGGAATAGGGACCTTGTTGCTTCAAGGGGCTGGAACCACTGGCCAGATGTTAGAGAACAGTCCACTGGTCACTGTACAGTAGCTGGTACAGCATGAAGGACCTGAGCCCAAGTGTCTCTGACACTGTGTAGTTAAGTCTATTAAGCTAGGTGAATGTATAGATCCTGACTGCTTCTGGCTGGTCCTATAAGCACCCACTCCCCATCCCACCATAACAGTGAACCTTTGAGCTGGGGGGTTGAGGTTTGGGGTGGCATAAAGCAAGCCCTGAGCAAAGCTGGAACATAGACATGCTCCTGCCTATCAGGGTGCCCATGGGCTTGCTTCTGGAACAGGGAGGTTCTGGAAGGGGCCTTGTGGGGAGACAGTGCCCAACTCTACCGCCTCAGGATTCAGGTCCGGCCATCTGATAGAGCTGTACCCACCTCACCCCTCTTGCCCCACATGTCTCCAAGTGATGCCATCCTGTCACAGCTAACTGTGAAGCCAAATAAGTCATGGTCCCCCAAATGGTGCTCATTAACTGCCCTGGCGATGCCCTGTCTGGAGCCAGCATCAGGCACTCTGCAGAGCCCTGTCCCACCTCCCCTAGTCCTGTGAAGAGAGAGACTGCCACTGCCCAAAGATCCTTAGGTCAGTTCCTGTGAGAGGGCCATAGGGGCTCAGCTTTCACTCCTGCCATCTGAGGCCCACCTGAGGGTGGGTTCTTCCCTTCTCCATAGGGCTAGAGAGGATCCTCTCTGCTTCCTCCCCTCCCCCAATGGTTGTCCACTTCGGCTGCAGGGCAGAGGAGAGTCCTGGTGCCTCTGCTTCCCCCCTTACCTACCCCCCTCTCCATCTGACATCATCCAGTGTCTTCTCCATCCTTCCTCCCTTCCTCCTGCTCAGCCTGTTCTTCCTCTGTGTAGGACCCTTGGCTGTCTGGCTCTTGGGTTCTGTCTCTCACAGAGAGACACCCCTGGTGTTGGGGTTCCCAGACCTGGCAGTTGCCCCAGGAGTATTCATCCATTCCCACACAGACTATGCTATATGGAGTGGATCTGACAAGACCTGGTGCCTTTTGCTTTCCTGTTCCAGAGCTCCAGAACCAGGAAGAGCTGGATTCCTTATAGAATTGGTGTAGGAGAAGGGCCTCTAGCAGGAGGGGAAGTAGGCCCTCAGCAGGCTCAACTGTTCCCCAGGGCCGCCTCCTGTCAGTTCTGCCCTCATTCTCCCATGGGTCTCTGACAAGCTGCTCCTCCCCAGGTGTTCAGCACCTACTCCAATGAGGACTACGACCGGCGCAATGAGGATGTGGATCCTATGGCGGCCTCTGCAGAATATGAACTAGAGAAGCGTGTGGAAAGGTTGGAGCTATTTCCTGTGGAGCTGGAGAAGGGTGAGAGGCCAGACCAAGGAGCACACTGGGCACACTAGCACTGTGGTGCTAGCTTCTGCCTTACACACTTGTGGATACCTACTGATATGGTAGACTTCTCTGACTCTGGTCCTTGCTGGCCTTTTTTGGCCTTTCTGGTCAGTGCTCCTAGCCATTGGTGTCTCCAGTCCAGTCTCAGTGTACTGCCATGGAACTCTGTTTGGTCATTTGGTGAACACATCTCCCAAGTACTATGTGCCTGGTCCTGAGCTCAGTTTGAAGTACAAGGACAGGTAGAACCAGGCTTCTGAGAGGCAGCTCCTCAAGGAGACTGACAAGGAAGTGGACATGGTGGACAGTCCCTCTGTGTCCTTATGTGCCGTCATATGTGCTGAGAGGGCAAGGAGGCTGCTATTAGTGCATTTGACAGCACCTGGCCATTCTGGAAGGCTCCCAAGGAAGTGATACCTCAGTTGGGAGCTAAAGAGGAGACATTTGGAAAGTATGGGATAAAGGAGAGAGGTGCAGCCTTTTCATGGCCAGCACAGGAGGAGTTTGACCAGGATGGCATGGACTATGATGAGGGATAGACCATGGTGAGGGCATAGTCATTTCTGAGAGGGATTGGGAGCCATTGCAAGGCATGGGAAAGCTATTTTAAAGGATCACAGTGGGATGGGTACAGGGAGAGGTCACAGTGAATGAAGGACCCTATTGTAAGGCCAAGGCAATGGCAGAGTAGAGGTGGATGCACTGGTTAGGGACAGTTAACAGGGCCTACTGGTTCCTTGAGTTGGTAGAGCCTGGGATGGGGAAGGAAGAATCTCATTGCTTCCCAGACCTGGTAGCTGGTAGGTGGGGGTACCAGTCAATAGTCAGTGAAACTCTGGGCATAGAAAAGACTAGGGGAGGGGGGGGATTAAGGCTTAGGGGTAAGTTCTTTTACAGCCACCATCCCAGCCACACACTCTTATCTTCATACACTATAGTTGGCCACACCCCAACTACCAGAACACACCCTGCTTGCCTATCAGCTCATTGGCTGGGTCAAAGGTCAGGGAGTAACCTAAGAACCATCTGAGTTGGCCTGGCAAAGGGCTATGTTCCTTCCCTCATAGGATGTTCCCTAAGCTTGGGGATGGTTCCTGAAGCAGAGCTGCTCTTTGGGGTGGGTTCAGGATGAAGGATTCCCTGCTATGGTGTCTCCCCTTCTGCCCCACAGACTCTGAGGGCCTGGGCATCAGCATCATCGGCATGGGAGCTGGAGCCGACATGGGCCTGGAGAAGCTGGGCATCTTTGTCAAGACTGTGACTGAGGGTGGTGCAGCCCATCGGGATGGCAGGTACTACTCCTCCCCCTCTACCCTGCTCAGTTTCCTCTACCAGCCATCATCTGGGGGGGTAGCCTCTGGATGGCTCCTGGAAGACCTGTGTGTGCTCTGTGTATCTTTGGATGTTCAAGGAACGCCACTGTGCAGGTGCTATGCTAGGCTTTGGGGTGACAGCCATAAACAGATGGAAGCCCTCCCCAAGGCGCTTAATATTCTAGGGGGAGGAGTGTGAAGCTAGGCTGTACCTAGTACGGTGTGTACTGGCCTAGGGCGTTTGTTGGCTCTGGGAAGAACACAGCCTGCATGTCTGGAATAAGGCTGAGCATTTCTTTTCTTTAACAAATACTAAGGGCCTGGCTTGCATTGGGCTGGTGACAAGCCCTAGCAATTTGGGGGGGGGGGGGGGCTTGTCTTCAGGAATCAGGCAGTGGTAAGGTAGACAGATACCAGGTGGAACAAACAAAAACTGACCAAATGGAGGAAAAATATATGAAGCCACAAAGTAGGAGGGTCTGACTACTCTGATAGGGAGGAAGTAATGTTAAGTAATGTTGGAATTAAGAGCTAAAGGCCTATAACTGTATTAATTCAACTGTGAACCTAAAATTTTACAACCAATTTTGAAAGAGATGCATCTTTGCGCTGGAAATTGATATTGAATATGTTAATGCTGTAATGAAATGCTGCTTCTAATCATGTGGTTAAATAAATAATTTAAAAAAAAAAAAAAGGAGCCAAAGGCCAAGCAGGGACCAAGCCAATGCAAGGGATTCCTTCACCCCACAGTCTCATGCACACAAGGCAAGCACTCTGCCAATTGAGCTATATCCCCAGCCTGAGTGCAAGGGGTTCTAAGAAGTCCAGAGTCAAAGGCAGTAATACAGCTAGCCAGGGGTCCAGGTGTGGATAGGACTAGGCTAGTTGTGGCCCTGTTCTGGAGCTGGGGTTGCTCATTGTCTGTGCATAGATATGTGCCTGTGTGAAACATCTATGACCAGAGGAGGGTTGTGTTCTGTGAGTTGAGAGGGATCATGGAGGGCACTGGAGCTCTGGGTGTCTGTGTCCCCTCTACCAGCTGTTCCTCTATGTGTGTTGCAGAGGGAGGAAGTGAGAAATGCTGTAGGGCTTCCCTCAGGAAGACTGAGAGGTTGACACCCACATTCCTTCCATGTAACAGATGTGAGTGGGTCTGGGTCAGTAAGGGCTGGGTTACTGTGGGGTCATGTTGTTGGAGGCATTGGCCCAATTCAGGGAACTCTTTCCTGCTATGGTCCAGATGGCATGGAGTCAACAAGAACAAAGAATGGTATCCACTTTCTTATACTTCTTTCCCTTTCTTTCTAGACTCTTGTTCACTGTCACCTGTTGATTGGGGGAGTGTGAGCATGAATGAGTGTGTCCATGGCCTAGTATCCACATGAGGGTTCAGACTGTAATTTTACATCGGGCATTATCTCCATTTCTGCTTGAAGCCTTGAGAAGCCCAGGACCTCCCAGGAGGTTGGAATGGAGAAAGGAGGTGCCCAAGGCTGCCCTCAGCTCCTGCATCCCCTCCCAGGCTAGCCTAGACCACCCCATCTTCCTCTTTCATGTTGAAGGCCAGGGCTTCAGGAGCCACAGCTGGAATGTGTTGGGGTTTCAACTCTGTGGTTATGGGTTGGTATGTGAGCACAAGCGGGCACTGCTTGGGTCTTAGACATTTGGGAGGACCTTGGGGCTGGGGGACTTAGGTCTGGGCTGGAGTGCCATGTAAGAGGGTGGTAGCACATGTGTACATGTACAAATGAGCTCTTAATATGTCATATCACCCTGTTAAATGTGACAGAGAAGGAAACAAAGAGTGTGATCATCACAGGAAGTATGCCTACCACCTTTCCTAGTTCTGGATACCTGTGTCTTGTGTTGCCTGCCTCTCCCTGTCCTTACTTCTTTTATGCTGGGTCCCTGTGGGAACTGAGCCTTAGTTTCCAATGGGAAGAGTCCACTGCTACCCCAGCTCTCCTGTTCCTCTCATGACCCCTTAACAAAAGTTACTTCTTCCAGGATCCAAGTGAATGATCTACTAGTGGAGGTGGATGGAACAAGTCTGGTGGGAGTAACCCAGAGCTTCGCAGCCTCTGTGCTCAGGAACACCAAGGGCCGAGTGCGGTAAGAGCCAGGAATGGGAATAGGCAGGAAGCCAGTCCTCAAGGCCACCAGCTACCTGCCTGAGGGAATTGCTGTACCCACAGCTCCTGCCCCAGACCTGCCTTCCTATCCCCAGCTCCCTGGCTACTTCTGGCCACCAGAACTCATGACCTTCCATGTTGTCCTCTTGGGCTATTCTTCTCTGCTCCTGTCTCTGGCTCACTCATTGAAGAGCCAAGCTGTGCAGGGTAACTGCCAACCAGACTAAGTTCCACCATCTTGAACTTCATCTTCCCTCCTGGCCCACCCCATGGCATGCTGAAAGACTGCTCTGTTGGACCCTAAAAACTCAGGGTGTTGAAAAGCCTGTGTGTATTCCACCTCTGGCAAGACAATCGAGGATCACTCCCTGCCCCCTCCAAGAGGGGCACTGCCCCCAGGAAAGGGTGGTGAAGAGAAACAGGATGTGGGTGGCCAGGGGGAGGAGGAGCTGGTGCCTGGAAGTTCTACTATTTCCTCTCCATCCTAATCTCCAGTTGCCATCATCCTGCCCCTTCCTGAAACGTAGGGCTTGGAGCATACCCAAGATACACCTCCCCAGTCTGTCCCTCACCCTCCTCCAGGATGGGTCATTTTAGCCATCCCCTACCTTGTTTTTTTTTTTCTCTCTTATGGTGGGAAAAGCTCCTGTGGTGGCAGCCCCTTAGCTCATGTACCCTGCATGTCAGCCCAAAGTTTAGTTGACATCCCCTCCCCAAAGCTGGCCAGGAGGACTAGCAGGTCTTCCCGCCTCTCCTGGTAGGCAGCCTGGTGAGGGCCCCATCTCTCACATTGATTATTAATACCACAACCTCTGGACTCAGCCTCTCAGTTCATCTCCCCTGGGAGGGCCTGGGTTTGGAGTCGGGGAACACCAGCAGGGAGGACAGTGGCATTCCCAGCTGCAGACAGGCTGGGATGACGCCGGGCTAGCAGATGACTCTGGCGCCCTGCAGGTTCATGATTGGCCGGGAGCGGCCTGGAGAACAGAGTGAAGTGGCCCAGCTAATTCAGCAGACCTTGGAGCAGGAACGATGGCAGCGGGAGATGATGGAGCAGAGATATGCCCAGTATGGGGAGGATGATGAGGAGGTAGGAACTCTGCATGATTGCCCTCTAGTCATTAGATGAGCAGTGCAGCTCTTTGCCTCAGCCACTTGCCCAGGCCTGGTAAAGAAGCCCAAACCCCAGAGGGGCTAATGGTCTGAGAGAAAAGTAGGTCCTTCCCTCAGAAAACCCCTGTCCTAGTTTGCCTTCAGTTGCTGTGACAAAACACTCTGACCAATACCAAGTTTGGGAGGAAAGGGTTTATTTGGCTTATATCTCCCAGGTCATAGTTCATCACTGAGGGAGCCCAAGGTAGGAACTCAGGGCAGGAACCTGAGGCAGGAGCTGAAACACAGGCCATGGAGGAATGCTGCTTACTAGCTTGCTCCTCTGGCCCAAGTTCAACCTGCTTTCTTATACAATGCAGGCCCACCTGCCCAGGGGTGGCACCACACACAGTGAGCTGGGCCTTCCCACATCACTCATAAATCAAGAAAATGCCCCACAGACATGACCACAGGCCAGTCCAATAGAGGCAATTCCCCAGTTGAGGCTCCCTCTACCCAAGTGTGTCAAGTTGACAACTAAAGCCAATTAGCACAACCCCTAATGAAATGGAGAAGTCATACCGTCTCTTTTCAGAGGGTCTTCCTGTAACTAGAAGGTACTGTAACTAAAGCAGAGTACCCTGAGTTCTACTCTCAGGGGTATAGTCTCTAACCTAGGAAACCTAATCTCAGAAGGAAGACAGATTCTCAGGGAGGCTAAGTTACTGGGGGAGCAGTGCAGGCAGTTTCTTCAGAGTCTTTCAGGGGACCTACCCTTGTCTGGGATACTCCCCTGGCTGTTCCCAGTCTGACCTGGGCATGCTGCTGCTGGTCTCATACCTGGCAGCAGGGTGCTGAGTGAGCTGGAGTAGATGGGTCCACACCACCTGTCTCCTTCCACAGACTGGAGAGTATGCCACTGATGAGGATGAAGAACTGAGCCCCACATTCCCAGGGGGTGAAATGGCCATCGAGGTGTTTGAGCTAGCAGAGAACGAGGATGCCCTGTCCCCTGTGGAGATGGAGCCTGAAAAACTGGTGCACAAATTCAAGGAGGTGGGAAGAGGGGCCCTGGGGTGCGGGCGTGAAGGCAGGTGGGTAGCTGGCCCCCAGAAACTAAGTGCCACCCTATGTCCACAGCTCCAGATCAAGCACGCTGTGACTGAGGCTGAGATCCAGCAGCTTAAGCGGAAGGTGAGGGTGTGCATGCACATGTGCATGTGTGTCCACATGAGCATGTTGAAGAACTGGGCTGAGGGCTGGAGGCTCCCCCCACCTCATACCAGCACCCTTGACCCTCAACATTCCACCAGAGGCACAAGCACCCACAGACTAGGCTGCTGTGAGGCCAGAGATAGCAGAATTAAGGGCCCAAGCTGTGGCCCATCTGTTGCTCTATTCACTCATTGGGTCTTCATCCCCTCATATGTAAGGTAGAATAAAAGTACTGCCAATATAGAGCTATGTAGGTGAGAGGCCAGTGCAGTGATCCATGGAAAGCCTCAGCATAGTGCCTGACACAAGGTAGGTGCTAAATCAAAAGTCAAGATGTCAGTGATTTCTCAGAGACACACCAAGTCCCGCTTTTGTTGTCTGTACTGTCCTATACACATCCTCTGCACAGGCCTAGGGATAGGCACAGAGTGTACAGGGGCGCACATAATGACACATGTCAGCCTGGATCCATAGACCCACTTATCCAGATACCTTGGCACCCCCTCTCCGCACAGATATGATCATTAGATACCCATGATTGATTTCCCAGGGGTGTCAGCATGAGTAAATAGACCTACTCTGAGGTCATGGAGACATGTGAGCATGACCACCATTCAGGCCACCTGGCCTAGGAAGTGTCAAAACATGAACATTCTCATCTGGGCAAGCAATATGCACATGCTGGTGCTGAGAGCACCAGCTGGTGACTACGTATGTATACCAGATGCTTATGAGCACACTGGGTACCCACACGCTCCAGGCATGTAGACACACAGCCTATTGAAAGAGTCCCAATTCCCACCTGGTATCCAGTGTGGTAAGAAAGGGATCTCCAGGGGCCATGCAGATTTGGTGCTCTTAGGGTATGTGTGTTCTCTTCACACATTTGGGTGGTGGAGGGTGGGGGCAGCTGGTGGTGGTTGGATCAGAACAAGGAGTTTGGAGCCTAGCCTTGGGAGGAGGCCTGCCAGGCTATGGCAGCTGTTCTTATGGGGGAGAGGTGGGAAGTTCGCTGAACTGTGGGATAGCTGAGACTGGCATTGTGTAGATCCCACCCCTCCAAGGACTATAGCCCTGGTCTTACGGACATGGAGCTGTGGCCCATGGGGTTTTTTGGAAGTTCAGTGCCTTGGAAGTGGGAGGACTTGAGGATAAGCAGGACTTGGATATAGGCAAACTGGTTAGAGGTCTAGGCCATGCCTGTCAGGGTGAGCCAAAGTACAGGCCAACAGTAAAGGAAGAGAGGCAAGCATTTGTGGGGGTGAAGTAGCAGGCTGTGTTCCTGAGTATTTGCATGGGTTGAAGCAAAGGTTAAATCACCCGTCTCCTCAAGCCCAGAAAGGAAAGGGGCAGTTAATTAGCAGACATCTAAGGTACATTCTAGATATTCAGCTCTGCTCCAGTCACAACGATGAGCAAAAGCAGAGTTGTTCCTTGTCCTTGTGAGTCTCAGAGTCTGTACACCAGTGACTGTGTTGTTACAACCTGACAGGGGTCTGTAGGAGAAGGGTTGCTGAGCCCCTAGAGCAGGAAGAACTCCCCCCAGCTGTGGGGCAGGTATAGGGGCTATGCTCCTGGAGTCCCAGCAGGCTTCTCTGGGGAAGTGATACAGGGTAACTGCCCAAAGAAGAGTAGATGGGGCATTCCTAGCAGGAGGAACAGCATCTGTGAAGGCCCTGTGGCAATTCTGAGTGCCTGTGTGTCTGGACACAGAGAGCAAGGAGTGTTTGCAGCAAGCTGGGTGGCAGGGCCACCAGGGTCTGGAGAATGAGTCCTGGGATGGATGTGTGACAGTGGTGCCTTCCAACAGGCAAGCAAGTCAGGAAAGCAGGCCTTTTGGTTTGTGCAGGTTGCAAGGAAGGCCTGTTTGGGACATGGTGACTGAGATACTGGGAGGTGGGGTTGGCACTTGGGATTTGGAATTCTGTGCATAAAGGTGGTGTGGGAGGTAGGGCTGTGCCCTGGGGAATGGTAAGGAGAGAACCTAAGGATCCAAACAGCTATATCAGGAATGGACATCTGGGAGCTGGAGAGGGGCTAGATTGTTCATGGGTCCTCAGAGGCAAGGACTGGTCAGCAGGCTGTGGTTTGCAGGGGAGTGCAGAGTGGTGGTGTCTTGTCTTTTACTTCTACCATCTCACTAGCCCTTGAGACTAGAGGCAGGTATCATTCTTATCTGGATGAGGCAGAAGTTGCTAATCAGTGACTCACGGGGCTTACTGCCTCCTTGGGAAAGCTCTAAGGCTCGGTCTCAGAGAATTAGTAGTTGGAGGCCAATAGCCTTCATATTTGCAGGAATCCCTGGAGACTGTGTCCCCAGGGCTCCTTGTGCCCACCAACCCAGGACTGCTCTTTCCTCACAGCTGCAGAGCCTGGAGCAGGAAAAGGGGCGCTGGCGGGTAGAGAAGGCCCAACTGGAACAGAGTGTGGAAGAGAACAAGGAGCGCATGGAAAAGCTGGAAGGCTACTGGGGTGAGGCCCAGAGCCTGTGCCAGGCTGTGGATGAGCACCTTCGGGAAACTCAGGCTCAGTACCAGGCCCTGGAACGCAAGTACAGCAAGGCCAAGCGCCTCATCAAGGACTATCAGCAGAAGTACGTGGTGGCAGGGATTATGGGTCCTGGGCCCAGTGGGCTGGAGAGGGCTTCAGTGGTATTCCCCCCAGCCCTCCCCCAGCTGAGTAGGTCGACAAGGCACACAAAAGTTGGAGGGCCCCATAGTGAGGTATCTGGGCTGGAATGGCTGGGTATCAGAAGCAGCACAAGGCCCAGAGGCCTTGGGAAAACCTGCCAGTCCCTGAACTGAAGCCATAACACACACCCTAACCCACCGTCTGTTCCCTGTCTCCAGGGAGATTGAGTTTCTGAAAAAGGAGACTGCTCAGCGTCGGGTTCTGGAGGAGTCAGAGCTGGCTAGGAAGGAAGAAATGGACAAGCTTCTGGACAAGGTAGGTCCTAGAATGCCCTGGGGCAGGACCCTATAGAGGGTGCAGCACAGAAGCCTGCATCTAGCACTCACCCTAGGATCTTTGGGGAGGATTGTGCTGCTTGCTGAAAGCTCAGGGTCATTGCCTCATGAGAAGGCAGGATCCATGCCCAGTGGCCAGGCCTGATTCCCCCGCCTCCATCCCCCACTACATCACCAACACTACTTTGTTTTCCAGATCTCAGAACTGGAAGGAAACCTGCAAACACTGAGAAATTCCAATTCTACTTAACAGGAATCACTCCTTAACCGGACAATAATAGTCCCTTCCCGTTATCCTCACCCTCCTGTCCTCAATACCCCATCCTACCCCTACCAGCCTGGGGACAGGTGCCCCAACTCTCCCCACTCCTCCACCCCACCTCCCCCAGCTTCAGGGACCAGAGGGCCCATATCACAGGCCTCTTTAAGGTGGCCCGGGCAGACAGTGGTGGCTGGAAGGGTGGCCTCCTCATCCCATGGGGCTGAGGCACAGAGGCCTTAGGGAAGCCGAGAACTGGCCTGGGTGTGGATGGACACAAGGACCTGCAGACCAAACTGCCAGACTTTACAACCTCCAGCCTTTGTCTCTGGACCGGAGTGGAGCTGGGACTCTCCCAGCATCTCATCACCTGGAGGCTGCTCCCTGCCTGCAGGGCTCCACCGGCCCCTGGACCTCTTGACTTGAGAGTCTACCTTCTTGGCCCTTTTCTCTTTCCTATCATTGTCCTGTCTGTTTCATTCTGACCTCCTGCTTGGAGGGGTTGCCTCAACACCTCCCATTCCTGCTCTGAATCCCAGGAGGGATAGAGCCCACCCTTGAGCCGGAGGCTGGCCCTGCACTGACTTCTCATGTATCCTTGGGGGCGGCGGGGAGAGTGGGAATAGGAAAAAGGGAGAGTCCAGAACACCTGGTGGCCAGCTCCTCTTTCCTAGAAAGGGCAACAGCCCTCAACTTCTCCTTGTGCCTCCCCTCTCCCAGGTGCCAAATAGCCATAGACTCTTCCTGGAACCATCCTGCAGCCACTCTGGGGTTCAGGTTTCCTTGGCTAAGCCTGGGAATGCCAGGAGGGAGGGAGGTCAGTATAGGTGGTACACCTGCACTGCAGAGCTCTCACTTGAGAGCTAGGCCCTGCTAGGGCCACACCTGGAAGCCTTGTACTAACAGAGACAGCCTCCCCCCCGCTTCCCCCAACTATTTTCCACTGTTTTCACTGGAGGGCAAAATTTTATTACTCATCTTTTTGGAGACCAGGGCTGCATGCAAGCAGCCCGCTTTCTAAGTGAAATTGACTCTGTTTACCCACTTTAACCCCAAATTGGGGCTTGGACCAAGGGAGGTGAGACCCCCCTCAGGTACCCTCCCCTTTCAAAATCCATCTCATTTTGCCATTTCCTTGTACCGGTTCCTAAGTCTGGGTTTCTGTTCATTTTTTAAAAAACAACCCTGTTCCATCGGTTTTGGCTTTTCCTAGTCCCCTGTAAATAGACCATACACATCGATCAGTATTTCTTGCCCTTCCCTTCTGCCCCCTCCCAACCCCCAGACGTGCCCCGACAGCCCCAAAAGAGCTGGCTGTCACAGTGCCCAACCCCTGTACTTCACCCCCAGCAGATGGAGGGGGGGCAGGGCCTCGATGTGCTTTGGTCTCTGCTGGCAGCATCTCTGCCCCACCTTGGAGGACCCCGTCTCTGTATATAATATATATATATATATGTACGTATTGTTCCTGGTTTTGTACGGACCATGCCCTCTGTCAGGTCGTCCCCATAAAAGCAGCCCCCAGAGCCTCACTGCCTGGTTTCTTGATGCGCTGGAGTGTGGGGAGGGTCAGGGATATCAGGTGGTCCCCCCCTTCCCCAATTTTGCCTGGGACTCTGAGATCTTTGTTAGTTCCCTGGTCACAGCATACTCACTTGCCACCATTGCCCAGTTTTCATAGTGTTTCTAGACAGTTCCTTCAGCTCATAGCAATCTTTTGGCAAGGTATTTAGATGAAGCCAGAGAATGGACTGAATACAGCAAAAGTGACTTCCCTGAGAGACTTTAGGGGCCCTGTATGAGGTATCAGGAGGACCAAAGTTTTCTTGGGGTGACCTGGGAGATGATCTCTCAGAGCATTGTTGCCCCAGGGTCCAAGAGACTGTTTGGCTGCCCCAAGCTGGCCTGAGAGGCCCCAGATAGTCCTAGCACCCCCGACTCAGAGCCATCAGGTTTAGTTGCTGCCCCATTAGCTCCAGTTCCAGGGACAAATTTTGGTGAGTCCCACAGGTAAACATAGACTTGTACATTCATAGCACAGCCTTTCCTTGAACCGGTACTGGGCATTAAGTCCTATCTTTGAGCCCAAATAGATTCTTACCTTCCCTTCTCCTTGCTTTAAGGAACAGAAGTCCCAATCTCAGGGCTCTGGTGACACCAGAGACAAGTGGTCTCTATGAGAACTCCGACAGTTCCTGAGCCAGCCACTCTTGTAGGTGGCTCTGTTAAAGAACCTGTTTTATGTCAAGCCAAAGTGTGGCTTCCCAGTAACTACCTTCACAACTGGGTTCTGCACCTCAAGGCCATGTAAGCCCTGTCCAACCCTGCTACCTACCTGAGAATCGCCTGGAAACTTAACAATGGTGACCATGCCTCTCAGGGCATCTCACAGCAGATCATCCTTGCTTGGGATATTGGAAGCCCTGGAAATATTGAAGATAGTAGATCCAGGTAATTCCATGATCACAGAGCCCCAAAACAGGTCTCAGGTCATTATACCTAGGTTAGAAGTCCCTGAGCCACAAAGTCACAGTCCCTGCTCAAGAAACCTTGGTAAGAAATGACTGAAGCTTCCTGGGTAGGGAAATGGATATGAGGGTTGTGGTGATAACTTCTGGTCTGACAGGCCAAATGTTTAGTGGGAGTCCCCTATCAGTCCCATGTATTAGGTGAGGAAGGAACCTTACCTAGATGTGCCAAGGGTTTAGGTCAAATAGCACTTCATTTTTAAGCCTGTGTGTATCCTATGGCTGGATATGTTGTGTATGGCTTCATTGGGAGTTTCTTAGGCCTGAGATGTGATTTGCCCATGAAATATGTCCATATTTGGGGCTGTCATGTGTCTATGGTCATACTGAGGCTTGTAACCTTACCTCCCCCACTCCTATCCCATCCATTACCATCATCTGCCCAGTTATGGGAGCTTGAGCAAGTCTGCCACAACTCTAGATTT